GTACCGCCCGTCACCGTTTGCCCCAGGCTGTGACATCGTCTCCTCTGCTTACTGCCGCTCGCGCGTGAGTGGTGGGTGTCCTCCACATGCCAAGATGCCAAGGCGTGGTCCTCGATGTGTCAAATCGGCACAAAAACCCGGCCCCTACACACCCAATAGCCCGCCACGTGCGCTGTTCGCAAAAGTCGACATCGATTTTAATGTTTTTGCATTTATTTGAGTTCGAGTTTAAGCATAGGAAGATTCCGTGCGGTCTCCATCCAAATGCTTCCGACGGACAGGTGGAAAGTTATTCCATCCAATCACAGCAGATGTTCGTTGGCTCTTCCAGGACTTAAACTGATTTTTGATTTCGATTTCTGATCTTGATTCTGTCGATAAGACACATCCTGATGGATCAAAGACTCGAAGACCGAGGATGATAGATGATGCTTTGAAGAGGAAACTTTAATTCTGCTTGCTGCTGCACTCAACTCAAGCCGATCAACACTGCTGCTGTTCGACCGAACTCCTGCGCTACTTGCTGGAACCAACTACCGCTTCGAACTCTGTCAACGCACTGGCAACCGGACACTCAAGCTCGCCTTCTGCTCCTTGCCCTGGTAGACTCTCTCTTCTGAATTCATGCGCGGCAACGCGGCTACCAAACATTCATAGAAAAAATATGCCAATTGCGCCGCAACCCGGGGACACAGCCCAAAAATCCCCTGAAACGAACCTATACTTCATACCACGTCCCCCCATACTGCTATTTGACATGGAGATTTTCACTATGTCCAAAAGTAATCCACAACGTCATGATCTCCTCCGAGAGAAACTGGAATTAAGTACTATTTTCCACACTGAAACTGGTATATTCTCGCTCGCGGCCGCTCTTACCTGGCGACAAATTTCCAACACGTATCCTTCTCGAAAATGGCAAAACAGCAGTACTCAAAAAGCCGTGGAACTCGATCTATCCGTAGCAGGGACCCGTGCTTAACCCCACGAGATCAAGCCTTCGTCAACCTTTCAGGCCCGAGAACTCCCACACAGGCCACCACACACAAATTCCAAGAAATTTTGTCATCATACCATCTGCCGTCAAGAACCCCAATTCGCCCCGTGCCGCGCTGCCGTGTTTTGGAAACGACACCCGGCACCAACTCCAAAATGTGTCATCTTAAGAACAATAAAAAAAATCTCGGCCCAACCTCTTTACCTGACTTGCTAATACCCGATCGCTACGAATGTTCCTGAACGAAAGCATTATTGTTCCCGACACGAAAGACGCCGTACTCACCCCAAAGAAAGGCGGCAACGAACCCCTGTCACCCCCCTCAATCGTTTTGAAATCGGCGTGACCCGGCGGTGCACACCGACCCTCAAAAGGACTCCCAACAACTAC